TTGCATGAATGACGTGTGGCCACCGTTGGCGAAGACAACACCACCACCACCAGCAGTCGTCGGCTGTGGTAGATGCGACGACCATTCAAATAAGGACGGTTGCAAACTCGTTTCTTCAGCCACAAACAAATGAGAGGCGCGTTCGCTGCCCGCATGCGCATTAACGATCATCTCCTCCAGCGGTGTCGATGCTATCGACCCGGCGGACTCATTTGATCTCAGGCGCTTAATTTGCGGTCCATCGTCATCTGTATCGGCATTCGCCGCCACAATGTCAACGTCTACATAGGCGATGTCGTCGCTGTTGGGATGCGCCGCCTTATCGGAACAAATTGATGATCCCGCCGACTCGCTGGTCACTGCCAACGTTGTTGACATTGTCGGCGACACAACAACACTACGCTGACTGTGGGAATGACTTTGTGACTGCGATTGTAGTTGTCTTGCTCCGTGGTGGCGCCCAGCTTGTTGATGGCATTGCTGTTGTTGTTCAGAGTCGTCATCGGAAGGCGATGAAGACATTTTGCGTTTACTTCGCGATTGGCCTGTTTCGCGGAACCCTTTCGCGAACGGGTTGTTGTCGATCTTCAATTTGGTGATGCGATCATTCTGTGAAATGCAAAGTGCAAAGATTAGAACTGCGAATTTACAAAATGTATTTGGATGCATATAAGGTTATAAATGTACATATGTATGTGTAGATAGATATATGTACACAATACAATTTACGATTTTGTTCAATACGCGTCAGGTGGCGTATCTACATACCTAAATACATAATAGTAGATACATATGTACATTAAATTTCAGCAGCTAAATGCTGTGCGAGCTGGCAACGTCGGGAGATAGTTTTGAGGCCGTTCATTCTTTCCTATAGGAATACTACAAGTTTTATTTTTTTCTTTTGATTATTCGTGGCCTAATACTTTATGTATGTATACGCTTGAAATAGTAGTTTGTAACTGTATGTTAATACAAATTTTAATATTCACACATATACCCACACACACACACACACACACATACATATGTATGTATGTATGAGGCAAGCCATCAGGAGTCCAGGCCATAGCATGACATAACAGTTTTGGTAATTTTAACGCTGTCAGAGAATGGACATTGATTTGGTTAATTAGAAATGTTCAGACTGGCGCCCTGAGTGAGGAAAACAAAAACACAGCAAGCGCTCAAATTATCCATTCAGACATGTATCTATCTACTTAACTGGCACAAAAACTCGACGTGAACTTGCTGGAATCGGTTGCAATTTTCGGGTCAATAATAGGCGTTCCATGCTAATTTGTTCAGACGACCAATGTAAATTTGTGTGCCCCTTTTGAGTGGGCCCGGCGTTTTGTGGTGTACATGTGTATGTATGCATGTACATATATGTATCTACAAACATATCCACTTACATATTGAACCTGCATACATTCCCAGTCGGCAAAATGACGAGCGTTTCTAAATACATAACTGCCTTCAGGAAGAAATTTTTTGAAAATTTGCTATAAAAATTTTAAATGTTTTAATCACATTTTTAGAAAAATTTAGGGTAAGCATTTTTATAGCCAATTTAATTTCAGTATAATTAGGTGCAAGTTCGAAGTTGTGCACTTTCGCCACCGCCACCGAAATTTATCACTCGAAGGCCAAACAGAGGTACAGGATCGTAGGGGATTACCCGGCAGTTCTGGGTGTCCTACGACCCATTTAAATCCAAAGCTCTCTTAGGAATGAGCAAAGAAGACACCTACAAACTTACTGCCGTATGCACAGGGCACTGGCCCGTCGAAAACTTCCTGTGCGAGTCCTCGCAAGGATGAGGCTAAAGACACTCTGCAAGCCATTCCTGTAGAATGTTTTAGAGTGCTGCCTCTCTCTGTATGACGTATGAAATTCATTAAAGTGGCCAAATGGATGTAGGTTGCACGAGTTCTGGTATTAAAATGGCAAACATTCTCAAACTATTTTTTTACTTTCAATATTTCTATTTACACAAGATTGTCATTGACTGCTTGATTTACAGCAAATTTTACACACAAAAAAATTAATATACTCGCAAAACTATGGCTAAATTATTGTAAAACTGCGTGCTTAGTTTTTCTCTCTGGCGTCGGGACTTTTTTTTAAAAGGATTTTGAAATTTTAAAAATATCAAACAATAATTTAAAACATTCCGTGCAATGTAAAAAAAAGTCCTGTAGAATTATAACAGAATAAATTTTTTGGTGCATAAGGACGAATGGGTATGGAAAATGTCCTTTACAAATTTTGTCCTTAAATATCCTTAATGGAATGAATAAAAAACATATGTAAAAATATGTTATTTTTTATTAATTTTTTTAAATAGTATCTGCGTGTTTTAAGCTTTTATAGCACCATAGATAGTAGAGAGCTACAGGATTCAAAATTTTGGGATAAAATTAAACACAGGGTGTTCTTGCGGTATTCCTGGAAAACAATTTTATTTATGAATATAAAAATATATGTAAAAATATGTTATTTTATATTACTTTATTAAATGGAACGGGGTTTTAGCTTTCGAAAGAAGAAATAAAAACCTGCTAATTTTTTTGCACTTTTTGAAGTAATGCGTTTTTTGCTAATGCATAGAATTATAATTTTTTTTATTTTTTTGTCATTGCCATCAGATCTGCACGAATCGTTCTATGTATATTCAAAAATGAAGTGTCAGATTAAAAAGCTTGACCTGTAGACAGTAGAAGTTTATTTTTTTTAAAGAGTTGCCACCTCTTAAAAAATTAAATTAAAATTTTTTAATAAGTTAAATGAATTATTAATAGATGAGTATCAATCGAAATGTGTATGAGAAGGGTTAAATTCTTAACTACATGTAGAGGGTTGCCACCTGTTAAGAAATCAGATTCCATTGGAAGTAAAGGACTTAGGTTATTTAAATAGATAGGTATCACCATATGGGAGTCAGGCGTAAGAGATTTAAGACGGTTTTAGCTTGCAAATGCTACGAAGAGGGTTGCCACCTCTTTGTAAAACAAGTCAAATGTAGTTAAACTAAAAGAATAATTGTGTCAAACCAAAGGCTTACGACATCGCATTTGTTATTTTATTACAAATACATAGATACATTGCCAATCAGTGATTTGTTCTGATTACATTCCTCTTAAATTACTAGACTCTTAAATTAACTCAGGAATCTTTTTACTCCTCGCTTATTTCTCGTTAAATATTTATGTCCAATTTTTTCATTTGTCTGATACTCATATTGATATACATATTTCAGTGACCTTATTCCCTTAATTAAAATGAATTTGATTTTTTGAACATGTGGCAACCCTTCTACGTGTCCTTTTAAAGTAAAGCATTTTCAAAACTATTTCAATTCATACCCATATTGCAATATCTAGTTCATTTAACTTATTAAATAATTTTAAGAAAAAATTAGTAACAGGTGGCAACCCGTTTCAAAAAATAAAACTTTATTGCCCATCTACATGCCAAGCCCTGCCATTTGGCACCTCACTTTTGGAAATAGAACGAACTATATGTAAATACCTATGCAAATGCCACAAGAACCCAAATTTTCAACTTCAAACTGCATTTATTGTGAAAGTATGAAAGGCACCAAAAAAAAAAAACAAATTGCATTTTTTAATTTAGCGTCCTAAGAAGCGAATTTTTTCATTTATTTAAAGCCGTCCATAATTCTATTTTTGCCCACATTTCATATGGCAGCGAAGCACTGTGCGTCAGAGTGAAGAACTAAAAACGCAGTTTTACTATATTTGGTCCATAGTTTCGTGAGTATGTACACATATCGATTCGTTCGTGTGTTTTGAAATTTTTTTCTTTTTGTCGCACAGTATTATAGACAAATTTTATACATACATAAATATTAGGGCTCGTAAAATTATCCGACTATTCGACTAATCGGTTAACCGAGCTGGGTTTGGGATTTTTTCGAAAAAACAGAGGACGAAAAGGAAGTAACATGTTCCATATGTAGTGCAGTTTTGTGCTACACCTCCTCCACATCCTCACTGAACAACCATTTAACAAAAATCCATAACAAAAATCGCGAAAATGAGAGGTAGGTATTGCTTTAGCCATTGTCTCTAAAATATTTCGCAATAACATTTCAATAATTAGCACACATTCTTGCAAAAAATGTTTGCCTTAATTTTGCACATGCCATCTTATATACAATGTACTACGAATGTAACAAGACTTTTCATATATGTATATGTATCTGTAAATGCAAAAAAAAACTCGAACTTAAAATATTCGATTAACCGAAAATGAACGGTTAACCGAATAATCTAAAGTGAACGGTTATCCGAATAGTCGACAGCTTTCGACTACTCGAATATTGCTAACCGATTAACAGTAGTCGACTTCAGTCAGATTCGAATAATTCGGTTAATCGATTAACCGATTTGCCCGAGCTCTAATAAATATGTATGGTATTTTGAAGGAAATCGATTTCGTTATTTTCTTGTTAAAATGCATGTGTTATCTATTTTTTTTTACCGCCAATAAAATGCTACGAAAATCTTTTTTATTGCATATTTGACTAATTTGAAGCGCATATTTTTGAATTTTGAGTGCATCAGGCTCCGAGCCGTAGCTACGACACTGTAGCATTCTTTAGAGCAGGACCAAATTGAAAAACTAATTTCTACGAAGAAAATTTATAATAAAGAGCTAATCGCAGAACTATGTTGCTTAGTAGCCTGACGGTGAACTCCACTTTTTGTATGAAAATAGGTAATGTCCCGTAATACATAATTCCAAAAATCGCGAAACCTAAAGAGGACCAGGATTGAGTGCCCCGGTATATATGTGCATGCATACATATGTACATACATTTATAGCGACTGCCAGCATACATATGTATTGTGACTAACCTGATATGCCGTAACTGCTACAAACTCGGTTTCCGGAAATATAAATGCCTGCTGTGGCGCCCAAGGTATTTGAGTTAAGTCTGCAGTTCGTATCACATGTATGCGTGGTTGATACTTGTGCATGCTGGCCAAAACAATCTGTAAATAGAAAGTATACAAATATGTACGTATGAATGTACCTATAATTGTATGCATTTGCCAATGAATTCTAAGCTGTGATACCAAGCACATATGTATGTACCTTTAAGGATGTCTACAGACCTACAATACTTACATACCTATGTACATACATATGTGCAAACAAATATGTATTCTTACTATACATATACGTATGTATGTACATATGTACCCAGCAGCGAAAATGCTGAGAACGCCACCAACTACAGAGTCGACACCAAAGTAATGCAATCGCATTACAATATGCCTGAACTGCTTCTCAAATGTAATCAATTTCAATGTATGAAATACTTACTAAATCAATGTTTTTCGAATTACTTTCATCGATTACCGCCAATGTCACGCAATGTTAAATGTAATGTATACTTCGAAAGCGGAATCAAATGCCATTACTTGTCATTGGTGAGGCATCGATGCGGAACGCATTCCATTCGCTGCTGGGTATGCACGTATGTACGTTTTTGAACTCTAATACATACATGTGTATAATAAATTATTATCATTTTATTATTTATTATTATTATTATTTTATTAATATTATTATGGATGCACATATCCTAAATACTTACATATGTATGTATATAAATATTGATAATACAGTGGAATCGCGATAATTCGTATCCCGTTTATTCGAAAATCTGTATAATTCTTAATAATATGTTGGCCCCTTGAAAAAGTTACGTTAACTCGCAATTTTCCCATTTCTTATAAATCGTAATTTGTTGTGACAACCCTTTTGTAATTCTTAGCGCCAAGAAATTTGCTGTGCAGTTGTACGTTTACCTAATAGTTTGTTTCCACCAGTTCTTAACTGTAGTTTATGCCTATTGGAAAAAGAAGATTACAACTTGAAGGGGGAAGTAGTTCATATTAAGTACAAGCGAACAAAAAGAAAAAATTAACTTTTCCGATCACCCCATGTTGAAATCCTTGGAACTTATCTGAGCTCCTAACTGCAGCTAAGCCTTTGGGTGAAATAGGCTATAACGTTAACTTTTTTGTTTGAAATTTTCCGTAAGTATTTTTTCCTGGTTAGTAGAGTTTAGATGCATAGAATACAGTACTTAAGAAAAATGAAAAAATCATATAAAATTACACCCAAGAAGTGAAAAATAAATTTTCTTCTGGTACATTTAATTTTTCAAGAAAATTTACGACAACGATGACATACTTTTACTACATACTAATGAAAAAAGAGTACCTCATCAATTCCTAAAATGTGACTGGTCCCTTGCGATTTCGAAACATTGGGATCCCACTGTACATAGTTATGTATACTATATAAATACATACACATCGCCGTTTAAAGTACAAAACCGCGTATTAGGATAATGAAAAATCTCGTAAGTGAGGTTGCCCTAATTTTACAAGAGAGAGTGAAACCTGTTTTATTCCATAACTTGCGCCCCAGCCCGCACCTGCGTACGCCCATGCAAATGTCAGCTGCGAGGTTGTGCGCTTTAAACGACGATATGTAGGAGGTGTATGGATAGACGTAAATAATTATGCGAAATGATAGTAAGAAAACATACTTACATGACCGTTACTGTCCAGGGTGTTGTTGGTAAGTTTCACTTTGTTAAATAGAATAGGTTGCGCTTGCCAGTGAGCCCCAGATGCAGGACTATCCGGGTGCAAATACATCCGTTGAGGACTCTGAGGCTCCGCGCCGCCAGCAGGCATCCATTGAGATCCAGAGAACTTGTAGCGACAATCGCCGATCGGAACCATCTCCAACAAAACACAGTAGTTAGAGTCATCCTCCAGGCCGGAAAGCGAAAGACGCATTGATGGAAACATTCGTCTGCATAAAAAAATATAAAAAAATATGTATGTATATTCATGCAGCTTTAGAGTGAGAATGGTTAAAGTAAACTTTTCCAACAAAATTTTTTTTTTTTAATTATTTGTGTAGAGCTTCTAAGTACTCTAATTTGTGACGTGCGTCTTGGACGTAGATGCACAAATGGAAGGACCTATACATCGGCGTAGGGGAGGGGGCTCGACCCTATTAAGCTGGCATTTCAGGGTACTATTTTATATATATATAAGGAAAATTTGAAAGTTAGGGGGGGAAGGGGGCTCGAGCACCCACCTGCCCCTACCTGGCTACGCCCATGGACCTATAATTTAACGCCGCGTGAAGGGTGGATTTTTATAAGAAGCTTTTTCATGAGAGATTTTCCCTCGAAGATTTTGCATTTCCTGCCGAGGGACGACCGCTCTATGGGAAAACATAGGTAGTACGCATGACAATTGTGTTTTTTTTTTTGAAAAACCAGAACAAATATTTACATATGCACGGCTACATATATTCTACCAATAAATGAAGCAGTGGTACTATGTTGCAAAAAAACTACATTTAGTAAATAAATTGGTTTTACTTAGTTCGTGGGCGTATGTACAATAGGGTGGTCCAAAATAAGTAAAGTCGGAATTGTAATGCTCTCACCCCCAACATCGAAAAAAATATACCCCTATTTTTATTTTAAAATCAAAAAATATTTAGAGGTCTCTCAAAGCGCTCATGGTTTGCCATGTATTTTATATGAAAAAACAAAAACTTTTCGTAGAAATGGTATGGAATTCTTGGAAATCAATATTTTTCGATCAGAAAACTCAGCTTGTCTTCAGGAGACTGACAATAGCGATATCCAATTATTTATTTAACCATTTTTTATTACTAAAGATTTTTTAATTATCCCCATTGCATTTTCTGAAATTTTCTGGGAGTTTTGGCGGACCTATAAAATATAGTTACTTTAAAAAAATGGTTAAATAAATAGTTGGCTTGAGTTTTCCGATCGAAAATTATGGATTTTCAAGAATTCTATATCATTTCTACGAAAAGTGGTTTTTTTCCTCATGTAAAATACAGACATGGAAACCTTTGAGCGCATTGAGCCACCTCTGAATATTTTTTGATTTCAAAATAAAAAATGGGGCTGTATTATTTTTCGGTATAGAACAATCCTAGGGGGTGAGAGCATAAAAATTCCGACTTTACTTTTTCTCATGCATTTCGGACCACCCTAATGCGCAATCGTATTCATGCAGGAACTGCCACTTCTGTTTGTACATACATACATATGTATGCTTGAACAACGGATTGTTTTTAATGGCTAAAAGGATGCGTCGAGCGGCCAGCAGGTGTCCAAGCATCCGGCGCCAGTGAACACACTAATATTTTCTGTCTCAATTTGTTTGTGCGCTACCTTTTCGACTTTATTTCCAAACCATGGAGTAATTTGTGGGACAACACGTAAATTTTTTGTTTGCTGATCGTAGCGAACATGGAGTCAATGATAGCTGCGAAATGATTAATTACCCTGTACGACATTTTCAGTTGTTTTTTTCTGGGGAATCGAACCAAGTTTTCCTGAAAGTCTGGATGGTAGTATATAGAAAAGTTATTTCTCCGTTTTCTCAAGTTGGCGATTCTAAGCGTTGGTGGGCGCTAAGCAGCTTGTTTAAAATGTTCGTATTTGAAAATAATAATTTTATATCAAAATTTAGCACGCACGTATCTGAGTATGCTCTGAGGGGGGAAAATAAAGCTTGTTTACATGGCTGGGCGTAGCTGAGTGCCACAATTTGTTGATTTCAGGGTTCGAATTCCATTGTAGGCAACATGGAAATAATTTTTTGTTTGTCTTAATTATGAAAAAGCATCCGTGACGTGCAAAACGTCATACGTGCAAAAATGCTTCATTTTATTATGGGCACAAATTTGAATTGAATATTTTCCACTATACAGTAGTTTTATTGCATAAAGTTTGAAACTTACACTTATTAAAGAAAGAACTATATTTTTTAAAAAAATAAAAAAAATTAAATAACAAAAATATACAATATGTTAAAACTTGTCATAATGTCGAGCCCTAACCGCCTAAATAACGAAAGCGAAATTTTTTTCAAAATTTTATTTTTGATGCAGAAATGTATCTAGATGCTCTAGGAATATTTCTGCATCTAAAAGAAAATTTTGAAAAAAATGTCGCTTACGTTATTTTGGCGGTTAGGGCTCGATGTGGTGCAGCTATAATTTTTTCGACCGCTTTTTCTTTGTCTTTCGGTCAGATTTCTCTTAGTCCAAGGTATGTAGGTTGGTATTGAAAATTAGTGAAATCCGGTATTTTTGAAACATGCAAAAACTGCTATCTATATGCATATATCTCAGTAATTGCTGGAGCTAAATTGCCCAAAATCTTTAGCATAAAATAAAATGTGTATAAATTAATAAATATGTACATACTTATAAGGAAATGTGTGCATCTTAGTAAGTAAGCGATTTAAAATTTTGGCATGGCGTTGACAATTTTTTAAATCGGGCTGTAATCACGCCCACATCGCATGTACACTTAATAGTACTAAACAGTAGTGTAGGCTTTGAAACGAACATTAATAATTATTATATAATCTAAATACTTAAGTAGGCACATACATACATGTGTATAGTATGGACAGTGTACATTCATACATTAGAATTGAGTTACGGATACACGAAATGAAAATTTTCATCAGTCATTTTATAACATGAATACAATGTACAATCACAATCGGTAGCATCTCTCAGTTAATTTTCCTTTCTGCAGTCCTGATGTATTGGTATCTATTATATTCGAGGCAGTGATCCCGGCAGCATTTCTAGATATACAGATCGTGTTCGTCACATGTCATATCTACTACGGACAGGTATCGATTACATGTGGCGGTCTTTAAACATCGTCAAATCACAACTGGCGCCCAACAATTAAAAATTCAAATAATACAAATAACAAATAAAAATTGTTAATGCACACCACTATTGACTGCATGTGAACGTACTACATACATACATATGTACATACATGCACACATACATATGTATGTATGAGAGGCTTGAAATTCCGCCACTCGCTACTACTCATAAATAATTCATGCAGTCCGAATCAGCTTCTTCCTAAATATTTTTCTGCCCGCTTGCATTTGGGCGATGATTGTGTGAGAAAAAAACATCCAGAGATTTTGGTCAATTTCAAATTATGCTAATACCTGAGCGCTACCAGAAACGTACATATGTATGTATGTACATACATATGTAGGTAGTTAATAAGGCGCTTCGGTGCAGCAGACACCGGCAAGACGGAGGAGAGCTCTGGTAGTTCGATAGCTACCGTAGCCAGCCAGCCAGATATTTTTGCTTGGCTTCGTTGGGTCGTTTAACGCGGCTCTGTCTCTTGCTTATCGGCCGTCCGATCAGAATGCTTGTTGAAAGTGTGAAATTGCTCGTAGTATCTGTCGGACAATGGATGACACGCTGCGGACTTTGTCAACGCATCATTTTTTATGTGAGCTACAGAAGGTCGCTGCGACACATTACTGGCGCCGAATTGGCCAATGTTTGGTTGAAATGGTCTGAAACGACGAAAACTGTCGACAATCGAAAACGTTACCAATGACTTTTTATTTAAGCATTTTTACAGACAATCTTCGATATATGTATGTATGTATATTTATGTTATTATGTTAGCACGTAAATACATACATACCCTGCAGAAAAAAATTATCAATTGATAAAAAATAAAACCAACTTGTAGGTAGCTTTTTGGCGGGATTTCTATAAAATATATAATTTGTAGTTAGCTACAGAAAGCTAACTTGAAACTAGTTGAAAAGCAGTGCAGACGTAATCGGGAGGCTGTTTTCTTTAAACAAGTTTCTTTTTTAAAATCCTCATACAAATTTAACTTTAAATACACTTTCTTTCTGCACTTCACAAATGCTTTTTCGAATTGAGGACTAATAAAAGGAAGAGCAAACATGGGACCACCTACAGCAGAATATATAAACAAATACATATGTATGTGATGTGTCTAATAAAATAAAGTAAATAAATAAAAAAGTAAAAAACAAAAATAAAATGTTTTTTTATTGATATTTTATGTTCAAAATTAGTTAGTTACAGGTTAGTTGACACCTAATGCAGAGGTAACCAACCTTGGCTATTTCGAGGCCATCCCCATAGAAATATAGTTAGGTTAGGTTAGGGTATGCAAAGGTACATACATACATACATACTATGTATTAGGCTTGGGGAGCTTTTGTACTAAAGAGCGAAAGAGCCAGCTCTTTTTATTGAACTAGTTCATTAGTTCGTTCATTAAAGTGAACTAAACTTTTCTGTGCCAATACTCCAATAAAAAATGGAAATTTAATTTTAACAGATATGACATCTCGTTTTTCGTTGTAAGGGCATCAAGAAAAAACTGATCGGAATTCGCGCTAAAAAGACATTTTATTTCATCGAATTTCTAATGTTTTACATTGTTTAGTGCAATTTGTTTAAAAAAGTAAATATTTGAGTTGAGTTTTTGGGATTTGTTGTTTAATAAAATACTTTTGCCTTCAGATGCCAAGGCGTAGCGCAATTTGGTCGCATTTCGAAGGCGAAATTGAAAAAAAGAAAATGAAATGCAGGACTACCGAGTTTCCATAATCAGTGTTGATTACTCTCATGGAAATTTGAATCGCCATATGAAAGCCAAACATCCTTTCGTAATATTGGAGAAAGGCGAATGAATGAAGACGACTGAATTGTGTCTTTATTGCAGAGGACCATCGACATTTAGAAAATAAATCTTTTTTACTTTACAAAATAATATGTACCTATGTGTTATAAAACTAACATGTTTGTTGTTCTCTAACTCAGCTCCTACTACCGAAGTATAGTTTAATTAGGTGAACTATAGCTCAATAAGAAGAACGAACTAACAGCTAGTTCATTGAGCTGAATGAACTAGAACTGAACTAATCTTTAAAGTGAACTTAAAAATCCAACTCTACTATATATTTGTACATATATGCATTAGACCGGGTACGAAAGAAAAAAGTTCCAGTTCGAAAATTTTCTTTTACCGTCATGAAAATTGCTGTCCGTAATCGTTGGTAATCGCTTTAAGTCGAAAAGTGTGACAGAAGGTATTATTTTGGAATTTCACCATCGTCCTTCGCTTCTTTAACACTTTGGCTGCCAGAGCATCACCGGTGATCGCAACAAAAGTCGTTCCTCATATGCCAATGATTTACACCCGAAAAAGAGAGCAACACTTTCGAAGAGACTCTAAATGTTCACCAGTGATAAGAGAAGTGACCTTCTGATTCAGAACAAAACTTTTCAATTTTTGACAAATAAAGAGCCACTTCTGTTGTGATCACCGGTGATGCCCCGGCAACCAACGTGTTAACACATTCCAAAGCCCACTTCCACACATTACCGCTAATGTCATTCCCAAGGTTAAAGTTATGATTCTAGAAGCGCTTAAAAATTTTCTTTCGAATCTATGTATGTATAGTTTATTCGTTTCTGAGGTGATCGTAATTTTTGCTGGGTACTTACATATGCATGCATGTATGTACGTATGTATATTTACACTAAGAAAAAGTGACGTGACTTTTTCAATCAGATTCTTTTTAGATTTATTTTTTATGTTAGCGATTTGAAAGTTTTTACATAAGAAGGAATATTTAAACAAAACCGTTCATTTTGAATTCCGAATGATTAAATTATTGTTTGATTCAAACTTTACATTTGAAAACTTATTTACATATTAGGTTTGTTCCACGCGAGCCCGCAGGATGCCGCGGGTGCTCAAAACAGCTTATAAATCGATCCTCACGCGAGAAAAATGGCTAATAGGGAGCGAATACCTTCCAGTTTTGGATCGTAAATGTCTTCTTCTTCGTGCCCGAAACAGCCCGGGCTTTATTTCCGGTCAGAAATGTACAAGGAGTCAAATTGAAATAACAGCCTTTGCTTGTTTACATCCGAAAGCAAATTTTACAGCACTAAAGTTCAGAAATGCAGATATTTGCTAATTTTATTAGCCATATAAGAAACATACGCATAAAATATTGTTTAGAGCTGATCGACTAATTTATTTTGGCGTTCCTCACGCTCTGGGCACTTTTGCCACGTGTTGACACATTTTTGACACTTGTGAGAGGGTAATTTATTTTTACGCTCTAATTGCCGAAACAGCTCGGAACGCGTGTGGAACAAAGCTATTATGACGCAATAAAAATACACATGTATTCGTTATTTTTATTTTCTATTTTCCGAACTATGAAAAAGCAAAGTGTCTAAAAAAAAACAAAAACTTCCCAAACAAATACATACAAGTATGTTTTAAAATAAACAAAATACCGCCTGACACGCCGTTAATTTTTTTCTCAGTGTAGACGCACCGTATTAGTGAATACTTTTGACCTGTACATAAGACGCAGGTGTCAATGGCATACATATGTACATGTGTAGCTTCTGCTAACTGGGATCCAATTCCCAATTTTTATCACAAGCTTGTATCTCGGGCGGAAAAGCCTTTAATGTTCTAAAATCGTTTGTACATACATACATACATACAAACATACGAATGTATAATAAATATGTATACACGTATGTATGTATGTACATACGTAAAAATTCAAAAACAAAATGTTCAACAGGTGAGTCCTGTTGAAGGATAAATAGCCATGTAAATATGTACATACATATTTATGTACTTACTTTAGATATCATGTGTGTATGCCTGAATGTATAAACATATGTACATATGTATGTATATGTGTATGTATGTATGTATGTATCCGTGCTGCGTGTACTTGGCATTTACGATAGAATTTTCGCGTCATTTATTTGCTTGAGAGAAATTCTTGTCGCGCCGGCGCTGTCGTTGCCGCCATTACCAACGTAAACACTTCACAGGCGCCATTCTTTGATGGCCACTTAACAGCATTTTTGACTAATGTCGTCGCGCCATGGACGATGGCAAAGTGCGCTCGCTGGCTTGTGGCGGCATGCGACGCATTCATAGTCTACTTCCGAAAATGATGTGTTAAGTCGGCATTTACGGCTGTTAAAGGACATACGAACAAACACAACTACAGCGATATGTGCAGGTGTATGTATGTATGTTTGTGCATGCGCATGCGCAAATAAATAAATAGATAGTATACCCTGCAGTAAAATTTGGAGACAGTCCGACAAAGCGCTAGTTCCGAACTAAATATCTCAGAACTATCTCTGAACTAGTGCAACACGTGCGGTGTAAATGGGCAAATGCTCATTACTCGTACAATACGAAAGTAGCTCAGCGAGAAGACCTCCGACTCAACCATCGTTGGTCACGAGTTCAAATCGCGGTGGACGCAGTTGTGAGTTTTCAAATTTAATAAATTACAAGCTTACAATATTTTATTTTTTTTTTTAATAAAATATATAACAAAAACGGAATCTGTAAAAGAAAAGAAAAAACGAAAAAAATGCCCAAAAATCGAATCGCAAAAATGTTTTCTTATAAAAAAAAAACTGTCCGAAATGGAACCGGTTAAAAACTGGTTGCAAAGTAATGCACTGGGTAAACTAGTTCTAGGCTAGCCAGACTTTCTGCAGGCATACATACATATGTACATACATACATATTTAGATAGCCATATGCATATATCCATGCATGCAAACACAAAACATCTCAAACAGATTACCCATGCGATTTTGTGTCTTCAAACGAGTACAACCTGTTTTGGATCCTTTGCGACTTTATTATTTATGTATGCATGTAGGTACATATCTTTAGATGAACTATGTTCGAATTTGTGTAGATATGCATTCTATGTACATACATATCCTCCGTGGAAAAACTCTAGTTCTGAACTGGTGCGCTTCTAGTACATTTAGACCCACTACTAGTTCGCGATAAATGTCTTTTGCATCATGCAAACAACTGCCGAATTTACATACCTTCGGCTGTAGCTGTAGCTAAAAATAAAATTGTTTTTTTTTTTTTTTAAAGTACCTACCACATCTCGCTGTTTTTGAACTGTTGGCGATCTACTTACTATCGGACTGGTTCGTTTTTGGCGATAAAGATCTTGTTCGGAACTATAAATTTGATTCACCAGTTCGGGCTTTCCCTACAAGGTATGTACATATGTATGTACATATATATGAAATTTGAAAAATTTAATAAACTAGAGTTATTTATTCGGTTACGTTTGACTGTCGACATTATGAAACATAATTGCGACATTGGGAAAATTTTCCAAAACGGATCCAGGCTTTGGAAAAAACAAAATATTAGGGAGTATAGAGGAGCTTTTTCAGATTCTAAATCTGAAGACCCCACAACGGAGGCTTATATTTTTTAAGTAAATCGCGCGATTTTTTATTAAAAATTTTCCATTATTTATCGAAGTATCGATTTTATAATAAAAAGCCCTTGGATCAAAATCGAAAATGATATGGTTTATAGTTGTATTTTATAGCTTCGAGAAGTATGGCAGCACACATTTATATCAACCAAAATACAATTGATAAGTGGCATTTTGTACAAAAAGTTGGGGGTGGTAGTGAAGATTATTTAACAACAATCTGCTTAAATACTATTAGCAACTACTTTGTGAGAGTGATACATTCATGTAGAGAAAGCCTCCCCCAACATCCTGACCAAGTTTCATGACTAAATTCCATATACTTTCGCTGAAATCTCGATTGGTTCCGTTTTGGAAGGCCAACCCGCGACATTAGTACCTATTTATACATATTTACATCTATGTAAAGAATTAGCTTCTTACCTGCCGCTTTTTGTTATAATCATTTCTGTGCCGATTTGATGAAATTGCTTCCAAAGCTGATCGTTTTGCAGGGTCACATCTGTTCCAGGCAAAGAGATTCTCGGTGGCATTATTACGTGTCGCGGAATAGGAAAAGGCAGCATTGGCGGAAAAGGATCTGTGATGCATATTAGTGCAAGAATTAATACAAATATACCTACATACATTTTTATACATATATACATAAATATCACTACTTTACTTAACAAAATAATTTATATTTTTGAGGCCTGTATGCAGCTCTCAAGAAAAGCAAAAACTCCATATAAAATGACGTACAAGAAATGGCTAAGAAATTTTCTTGAGTCAAATTTTCTTAAGGCAGTACGCAGTTCTTAAGAAATTTACTACGCTTCCTACTACGGTTTTCTAAAGTTTTTTGTGAAAAAGAGCACAAGGCAACCCAGATTTGCAACAGAAATATATGCCCGTTCCATTATTTCTTGAGGAAAGAGTGACGCAACAGGCTGTGAGGCATCAAAAATGTCAAAATTCCTTGGACACACAGGCGAAATAATGGCAATTTTTTCTTGACCATTTTCTTGAGAGCTGCATACAGGGCTTTAGAGATGTTTTTTAGGTATCTAATTTGTTATCGTTGAACACTGAACACGACTATGAAATCTTTTACTTTCTCAAGAAATCATAAGCCTTTTAAACTACAGAGCTTCGGTGACTCCTAGTAAAAGCTTGCGAAACATTGCAACCTTCTAGCCGCCTTAAAAAAAAAACGGCTCTGGTGGTAGTTAAGTGTTTCTTCCCCAGAATCGATAATAAAAGCTCACCAGTTTTCAAGATGGCGGCGATTCCTCTCTCACGTTTTTCGTTCAGTTTGAAATAAAATATAAAAATAACTATTTATATCATTTTGCGCGCACTGGCTCAACAGACGCAATGGCTGAGTGAGCAGAGCACTGGCGTGCCATTCGAGAGATCTCAGTTCGAGTCCTAGGGCAGGAAAATTTTCGACTTTCTTTTTTTATTTGTTAATTTTTTTTGTCAATTTTTATAAACTGTTTTTATTGAATTTTTTTGCTTCTTTGATCTAATTTTCTTTTGGTGTATAGATTTTATTGCTAAAAAAGAGGACACATTTCTTTTTTTATTTAATTTAAGTTTTTAGAAACCGTTTGCTAAAAGACAAACAAGACCAATAACCGGCCAATCCTGGCATCTGTCTTTCAACTCTCCTCAATCTTTCGAGAGACAAAAGCCTTTATATTTCGAAAACTATCTTGAAAGCTCGTTTCTGTATTTCGAATGAGTAATTGAAAGATGTGCTAATAGTGTTATTATATTTATCGTTTATCAATAAGTTTTCTAAAAACTAAAGGAAATGAAAAAAAAATATTTTTTTTAAAACAGGAAAAACTAAAAAGGCGAAAAAGGATGAATCAAAAAAGTTTCCAAACGTTAAATAAAATAAAACATATGAATTTTTTAAGTAATAAAACATTAAAAATTTAGTTAAAAACAAATTCGTTGCCAAGGATTGAACTCGGATCTCTTAAATGGCACGAAAGTGCTCTGCTCACTGGGCCATTGCCACTGTTACAACAACGTTATCAAAATTGACGTTTATTGAAAACAAACAAAAAATTTCAAAATCATTCGTTAAAAAGTTAAGTAACGGTTTTTGTTTACTTAACTTTAATGTTCATTAAATGCCGTTAACGAATCATTAACTGACTCTGGGAGGGAATTTTTTCAAATCGTTACTGAGGGACACCTTAAGTAATCATTAAACGACTCTGAGTGCGGCTGTGAGTGCGGCTGTAAGTTTCACAAATGAAGCAATTTCTTCAGTAATTTAGATTTTTAAACCTCTTTCAAAATATTACCTACATTTTCTTCATATAAAAATAAGTTACTTTTTAAGTTATATGTACCGAGAAATCGTATTTTCGACTGGAATGTATAACAGACCTGCTATCAGGAGGCTTTCGAAAACACTTTTAAAATCAAGGGAGAATGTTTGAGTTTCCGACGGAGTAGGAGTATGATGTATTGTGGATAAAAAAAAAGAAGTTATATACCATTTAAATAAGAGCAAAAGGCGTACCAAGACTATGTTTTTACTTTTTTAGTAGTTTACATAAAGTAATTAAAAATAATTTTTTACCAAAGGTCCAATTTCGAACTGCGAAAGCCCATAGCTCCATTTTGGAGGCTAACTTCGAAAAACGGAGAAAATACTTTTTTAATTATGACTCAAACTCTTAAAAAAAGTTGTTTTGGTCCAATACCCAGGCGAATGCTGTACAGTGTAATTTTTAGGAAAACTTAAAGAAAATACTGATATCTAGTTTTTTTTTCTGGCTTCGTTCTGTTTTATGAGTTTTTGGTAATCTTTGCTTGGCCCCTGATCCCTATATTAAAAATAAAGCAGTGCAATTAACTGCGTTGTGCGTGTGCCGAGAGAATTGAAAATCTTTTTATCATTAAGGCAAAAATACCCCTTTTGGAACGGGTACCAGTTTTAAAAAATATTATAAATTTTTGTAGAAAAAAAAGAATTAAGCCTGTAAACATACGTGAGTTAATAGTATTTAATTGTCGGCCGCTGTGGTGTAGTGAGAAGCAGTGCGCCCTTCCACTCCGCAGTACCTGGGTTCAAACCCTGGTCAAAGCAACGTCGCAAAAAAATATAGAAAAAAGTTTTTTTCTTAACAGCGGTCGTCCCTCGGCAGGCAATAGCAAACCGCCGAGTGTATTTCTGCTTCTCATAAAAATACAATCGCCGTTCGGAGTCTGCGTAAAACTGTAGGTACCTCCGCTTTGTGTGACAATATCAAGGCGCTCGCCACAAGTCAGAGGAGAAGCTCGGCCAAACACTTACATACATATGTGTAAGCGCCAATCTATTATTATTATTATTAGTAATTAATTGTTCTGTATTCAATTTATTGGTGTAGCAGGTTAACTCGTACAACTTTCAGATGCGTATCTGGCTGACGCGAAACGAATATAAGTGTAATATAGAATAGTAACAACCATATTATATAATTCACAATTCATTTCATTATAGAATATGGTAAATGTTTTACAGGGTGATTCAACTTATGTAGAAACAAACTTTTAGTTCGTACCGAACAATAACAAAAATTCCAAAACTATGCATTTTATGAAATTATTAAATTCCTTGAGATTTCTTATTTTTAGGATAATTTCCAAAATTTTAAAAACTATCGAAATCTGGACGGTTCTAATAATTTTGGTAAACTGAGAATATTTTGAAATGTAAAAAAATTATTGAGATTTTTGAATTATTATCCAAAATTTTGAGAATTTTATTTATTCTGAAATCCATCCTAAAATGTAGATAAAGATGTGCAACATCACAAATTGTCGAAAAATTCTTATGTTCATGGTGCTTGTGTATAAAACTTAGAAAATTCTTAGAATTCTAAAATATATTAACATTTTTGAAAAATTCCAAATATTTTCCACTTTTCTGAACACTTATTTTGTGATTTGTCTACTTCATTACTAGGGAACGGATTTTTAGGACCTAAAAACCTATAAAAAAAAAGGCAAAATAAAATAACAAATAACAGAATAGGCTGGAAAAGGCAAAATAAAATAGCGAAAAAGGCAGGAAAAGGCAAAATAAAATAACGAAAAAGGCAGGAAAAGGCACTGGGTATTGCAAAAAAGGCAAAAAAAGCAAAACGAAATAGCGAAAAAGGCAGGAAAAGGCACTAGGTAGATATTGCAAAAAAAGCAAAATAAGGCACTAAAAAAAGACAGAAAATACGAAGAACAATCAAAAAATACATTTATTTTAGAAATGTTTATTTTACAAGTAAAAAGAGAAAAACTATGAAAAATTTGTACTTTGAATATTTGACTATTTTATCCTTTCGAGTTTCTAACTTATAAAACTTCAATCTGTATAGTTGTACTAACATTGAACCACAAGATGCATTTTGAAGTTTTCTGGCAACATTTTCATTCGATTTTCGCGAAGAAAAGCCTTGTTGACGTAAGTTGGAGCCCAATTTAAACGTTCATATTATCAGGAATAAGGGCGTTTTCCTCGCCCTTTACAATTTTATTCACACCCCTTATTGTCTCCAAGCCTACGTTAGCTGAGAAAACGGCTTTGAATTTTTCCAACACCAATTTGGCAAGAGGTCCCTGCGCTTCTATAAGCCGCATGGGCATGTGTATATTTTTTATTCTTGAAAAAAAAAATTGTAAATGCTATAATCACTTTTTTAAAGGTAGAAAAGGCGAAAAAAGGCAACATCAAATGTGTATATATGGAATCAGGGAAAGCTAAATGGTGGACATTCTTAATCGAATATACTCTATCTCTTTAGCAGACAGAAAAAAGGCAATTTCCATAAAACCCGTTCCCTGTTCATTGCATACTATTTTAGCATGTTATTCAAGATATATGTTAAAAAAATATTGTAGATTTTTGTAAATAGTTGAAAATTCATACAAACTTTTATGGAAATAAAAACAGTAGTGTTTTTGTTTACGCAATTAACTAAATGAAACAAATTCTTCAAAGTTTGCGCAGACATTTCGGGAGGGGTTTGAACCCCCAAAACCCCTACCTACGTAAACCCTCGGTATTTAAGATTTTTATAATTGTAAGTTATTGGAAGATTTTTGCTGTGTTGACAACAACTTCTATGCAGTAAAAAAAGCGTATAAGTTTTGTTTCAAAAGTGGGTGAAAACCAATCGATTCACTTACATGATCTCGGTACCGATAATAAATAATCGAAATAATTGTTTATACCCAGGCAAAGTCTATTGTAACAACATTCATATCTCACGTACAATGCAAGAACAAAATTTTTTTCTTTGAATCGACATACTTTAAGCATTGTTGACAATATTTCCATTTGAATGAGGAAATAGCATAATTTACTTTATTTCCAAATTTTTGTTGACTTTGGTTCGCTTGTGAAAAGGTAATAATGTCAATTGACCTTATTTCCCTTGATTTTGTCACCTGTCACCATTTTAGCTGCCATTTTTCTGGGCGTTTTTAAACAGAAGCAATTCGTTGTTGGTTTGGTTTTGAATTAAAATGTGATAACGGGCGTGACAGATTTTTCCCCCATACAATATTTTTATTACATTTAGATATGATTTAATTTTTTCCGTTCTCCCTCCACCTTTTCGGATTTTCATAAAATTTTTTCGGCCAACTGAGTACGAAATTTGCAGTTTGTTTGAACTCATTTACTTGCATTTTCGGTTTACATTTTTATGGAAGCATCTATATGTAATTAATATTATCTACATGCAACGAAACAAGTAATATTAAAATTTGGAAACTTTGCGCAAAACTCAGTAAAATTCAATTAAATTGCAACTTTTTAATCAGATTATTTAGAAAAATGGACATAGTGCAGCGCATTAAAATGCAGCGGATCTGCTGGCTTGGCCATGTCGTTCGAATGGACACCGACGCTCCAGCTCTGAAAGTATTAAACTCGAAACCCGCTGGTGGTAGCAGAGGAAGAGCGAGGCCCCCACTGCGATGGAAAGACCAGGTGGAGAAGGACTTGGCATTTCCAATTGGCGTCAGCTGGCACAGAAGAGAAACGACTGGCGTGCGTTGTTGAACTTTGTTGTTTTATATCAACTTTTGTGAACATCTGTTTATGTATTCTTGTACAACATACCTCTATTGGTTACAATAATTTTAAGCTTTAAAAACAATTTTTTAGTAAGTACGTTATTGGTTTTGAAAAAAAAGATGTTCCTGTATTGTTTGAAATCCATTGAGGAAACAATAAATTTGTGTGTGATTTATTTTCCTTAACTGCTTAAAAAGTTATATTTAGTAAGAAATCGTAATTTTCCAAAATTCAAAGTTAGCGATATTTCTAGAGGGCGTGGTTTTTGTTCGACTACAAAAATGTTCAAGACGGTGTTTAAGAAGTTCAGCAGCAATGTGTGCATCAAATTTGGTACATATTGGTGAAATGTTTTTCGAGGCTGGCCACGCCTAATTTCCAAAAAATTTGACGAAAAACTAATATCCAATGATAATATCATTTAAAAATTCGTTAACCCCACTGCCCAAAGATCTGAAAGTTCACATATTCGGGCAGGTTCTGCAGCTCATTTCCGAGTGAATCTCAACCCCTGCCAATTTGAATTCAAAGCGAATTTGTCTCAAATTCACACGGAAGTGAATTGCAGAACCCGCCGGGTTATCATATATGTATGTATATACACACATATTAATTCATGGCCGTATTTTAGACAAAAAACTTGTTTTATATATTTAGCATTTTCAAATAACTATATTAAGACTATTATCTACCAATCGCGCATAATTCCAACCCGTTATGTTTTAGTCTCGCAATGTGCCATCACAAAAGAGGAAATTCGGTAAAGATGTACCTACGTGGGTACATATCGTCGTTTAAAGTGCAAAACCGCGTATCAACAAAATGCAAAACCGCGTATGTGAAGTTGTAGAAATTATTTTCTAGAACGTAAAAACACTTATATTTCAAAATGGTCCTTTTTTTATAAAGCAATCGCATTTCTGCTTAGTATATTTCAGGACAAATGGATAAGGATTGAGCCAAGAGCTTGTGTGAGCAAATCCAATTTTTGGCAGCCAATGTCAGTTACGCGGTTTTGTACTTTAAACGACGATATGTATCTAGCAATCTAAATCTTCTTGAGAAGCGCATCTACATATATTTTCTCTACAGAATACGATTAGCTTTTTGCAAAAGCCATGTGCAAAGATATATTTTCATTCTAAAGATATTTATAAAGTATACTGATGGTTTTTGCGACCTTTGTAAACGATATTTGCTGTCTTGTAAGTTATCTCATGGAATTTTTTTTTTTACTTAACCCGCATCCATCGGAAATTTTTTGTAACACAAAGTACGTTGTGCATCAATTTGACACATTTGGAAAAAGACCATAGTATTCAATGAAGTGTTGGTTTTTTTAAATTTTTTTATTAATGACCAACGTTTGTTTATTCATTTTCTGATAATAAGAATAAAAATGCTTGAAAGATCTACCTATGTATACGCGAAAAACCAATTCAAAACATTAACTATTAATATACCTATTTTAATATTTTAATATGTTTTCGAAATTTGCATCAATTTGATACAAACGATGGATGCGGGTTAAGGAAGTGTGTTTATTACTGAAAGTTCACCTGGAATACGTTGCATAATTTGCTGTCGGTATATCTCGTGCGCAATTTGTTGCTGCATTCGCAGGTCCACTAACTCGTTCATTGTCATCATCTTGTAGGTATGCCTTCGACCAGTTAGTTAATGATGCTAATCAGGCAGGCGGTGCAATTGGTGTTTGCCTTGGTAGGTGTTTCGTATATGTACCTATGTATGTATGTATTTTGATTGATAGTCAAACAGACTTCCGTTAGCAATTGACGCCAATTCTTTGTCAAACTACGCCAGCTAACAATTAAATTTCACACATTCTAATCACTGTACTCATTTAGTACGTATTGACAAACAGATATACTACATACATATGTATATGTATACATGCATGCATTTATTTATGTATGTACATATGTTTGCATGCCACTGATTTGATGTCACGCCGGCACCTTTATTTACTTGTCTATCCGTAATGTTAGCGAGATTATCACATAGCGTTTTCATCAACTAATCGGGTGCTAAACCAACGAAATTGTCACATAAAACGCGAATTCACAAATACATATCTATACTTGGATATGCCTATGTAGGTATGTATATGAATGTGTGTATGTCAATAGGCATGGACTTTTTCCAGCCGATCGTGCAGCGTGTGTCGTTTGTATTAAACTTTACACCCACATATATGTAGGTATAGTATGTATGTATGTGCATACTATGTGCGTATCTATATAGGTATATGTATTTATCACGCGAACTAAATGTTCTTAATCTCAAAACCAGCAGTGAATCAAATCGTAACACATGCGAATTAGTTGTTCACCGATCGACAGCCGTGCCCGCACTTTGCAAAGTTTTTGTTCAAACTGAATGCCGCCGGTCAAGTTTGCGCATCAATACATTCCTCAATAAGCTTCCAAGCGAAGCGATCACTGAGGGTCGCGGAGTGCTGCACGGGCAGTTAGTTCCATTCAACGCGATTGGGATCGAAGATGTGCAAGTGAGCGTAAAAATGCCTTAACACGCCGTGAGTGATGTGAAGCATTTAGTTAAACAATTAAAAACAAAAAAAAAACTCTGAGAGGAAACGCTTGTCACGAATATTTGTGGCTTAGCATGAAAACGCCGCTTCTTTCTAAGCCCGCTTTCTCAGCTTTGCGCACTCGTTGACTCTGCGATCACTCTGAAACAACAGCAGGCGTTCTGCTTTAGGCGAATTGAGAGCGACAAAGAGCACGTGTAGCTGTTGAGTGAGAAGTGCTGCGGAATGATTTGATTGGCTGCTGCGGTTCCAAGTGGAATGGCTGAGAGTGTTTGTGTACAACGCGTTTGGCTTTCTGATTGTTTGGTTGGCTTGTTTGTGCCTCCATTTTGAAAATCACACCCTCGGCGTTGGTGATGATATTGACGCTTGCAGTTGTTGATTTCCAACACCGTTGCCATCGTCATTTCCTTTTCCGTCTCGTCTGGAGCTCTTTCACATCGCCTTGTCATCGCGGTCTGACTCCTCCCCTTCCAGCAGCTGTTGGCCCTTTACAGGTAGCGATCATTGTTGTAATGGCGAACCCTAACTGCGTTTAATTAGCGCAGACACATTATATTTATCATATCTACTCCTAGCCGCAGCAAAACACAAAAGATGCACGTTCGTTTTGTTGGTATGCCTCTTCTATCTATGTATGTATGTACATAGTACATATGTACGTATGTATGTATATACATACATACAAACTGTAAAGTGCGAACTCGCTAGGCATCACACTAAATAGAAGCTGTTAGCGTGGCAATTACGCTTTGTGTTGTCTACTTTGGTTGTTGTTTTCGACATTTGCTGCAATGTTGAACACCTAGTCAATAGCTAGATACATTTTAATTACGCGTCATAAGATTTAACAGTAGTGTATTTATGCATTTATGTATGCATGCAACTGAAAATCAACTGGAAAAATTTCTGTGTTGTAGTTTTTGAAAATAAAAAAAAAACCATTCAAAATGTGCCTCACTCGATTTCGCTAGGGTTAAAACTAAAAGAGCGCACGAAAGTGGAGAACAAAAGTCGCATCGAATTAGAGGAGGATGTAGAGCCAGCCCAAGAATGATAAAAAAGAAGATTGCGCCCTCAACGTTCCGCTATGTTTTTTGGTTTGAGTTCGACAGTCAGCTTCTTTGATGGAATGTCATAAGCAGAGGTGGGCAACAATCTAATAATTAAGAGAAAAAAGTAATTTTTACAAATTTAGTGTTCACTGGCGAATTTCAATAACGATATTTGAGACAAATCGTTGATAACCAACTATATTTGCTTTCCGTTTGCTGTGGCTTTGGCACAGAAGTGTGCTTGAAAGTGGCTATTGCCATATCTAACGTGTCCTTTTCCAGAAGGTTGGAGATGGTCCTACCTTTCCTTGTCAGTTCGTCAGCTTTGCAATTGCCATCAATATTACGGCGCAACCCGGCAACCATTTGAGTAGACTTCTACGTACGTACGTTCAAAAAGCTGCGGCATTCGTTGGGAGACTTTACTTTGTCTATGTGTGAGTCGAAAGGTTTCAGGACTGCCTTCAAGCGTAGAATTTTTTAGATATTTTCGGTCATAACTGCACAAATTTTGTGTTTAAAGTGCTCCAAAATTTTAGGTTTATTCGCATAAATACGGCCTCATAAAATAATCCCTTCGTGCCAAGTCGGATGCTCTCATTGGCCAAATGACATTCCCTCTATGGGAAATTATGAGCCTAATAAACCTTTATGTTCCAATTAACCGTATCCATGACACTGTGAATGATCAGATGTCTTCAATTGAGGGGACGGAGGCGGAGGGGCATGGCCTCCTAAACCCCTCCCATTAGAAAGCTGACAGTCCGCACTTTGTAAAAAGCCAGATATCGGGCGGTTTTGTATAAAAAAAAGTTGATTGAAAATAGTTGTAAGAGATCAATATGATAGTATTTAGTATAGACCTTCTTTCTGCGTAGATTATTTTATATACATACATACATATATACGTATATGTACACACATGCAGTACACATATATGCGTTTGGCTAGAAATATTTGCGTACATTTATACCAGTGCCAGGCAGCTAAATAGTAGCCTCGTGAGGCTATGAGGGCTAAGTGGGCTAAACGGGGAGAATTAGTTGTGTATTCATAGGTGAATGCATTCATGCAGATGTCTACTGTCTACCCATGGATTCCGAGTTTCAGAGCACCCGCAGAGTGGACGCTGAAAGCCGCGTCAAGCGTAATTATGGACAATACGAGAAATAAGTTTTCAACCGCTTTTCAGCTCCTGACTAGGGCTGCCAATTTAGCTCTTTTCCCGTCAAATCTGGCTTTTTCGAAGTCCATTTAGCGGCAGGAAATGAGAAATTGCGGGAGTTTTAGTTTTTCCGTTATATGTTTTTGTTATTTTATAGCCTTATAACAATTATATTCAACAATTTTTATTGAGCTTGAGGCCGTTTTTAATGAAAAACTTATTGTGGAAAAGCAACAATAATTTGAAAAAAATGGTAGAAGTGATTGATACCTAGCTATTTCGGTAATCGCCACATTTCCTCATCAGACTTTTTTCAGTAGGATTCGAACCAACGATCCCACTGACCATGGGCCTAGCCAGGTAGGGGCAGGGGGTGCTTTTTGTTTTGTGAAATCGAGCTCTTTTCCAGCGGGTTTTTAGAAAAAAATAATACTTTTTTCCTTGAAAATAATTGGCAGCACTGGCTCTGACTCGCGCTGTGATGGTATACATACATATGTATGTATGTATATTGGTTGGTGGTTGTCAGAGCCATGGTCCTGGGTAGAACAGCTCTTTCGAAAGCACCCAAAACCTTCCAATCTTTGTTCGTAATCGTCCACGTTTGTGCGAAAAGAGATGAAAAATGTGGATAGTTTGTTACATTTGATATTTGCGCAGCAACAGATGAGCAGAGTAATAATAGACACCAGCGGAGTACAATAATAATATTTGTTGCTTTATTAATTGCTGATAGAGAAGTAACTAACTTAACAACAGTGTGGTAATTCATTTGTTTTAGTACTGTATACTTCATTTAGTACAAAATCAGAGTTGCTTCAATTGTTACTTATGCGCCTTTTTACAAAAAAAAACAGAGAAAACTGCGTATTTGTTTGTTTCACTTGAATACACAAGCGGGGTATTTGTATTGTATTTTGATCTGTGAGAATTTCTGTTCATTTCCGGTTTTAATGAAAAAGTATGTATGTAGATCCATATGAAAGTTTCTCTTCATAGATAACGCTGGGCAACGAAATTTAGCGGAAGAGTCAATAACAGCTGATTTCTATGGAGTTTCTACGCAGAATCAGAATCTGATCTTAGAAGAACGAGATTGGCTTTAGTTTTTGAGCTATTTGTTTTTAAAGGTGACAAAAAACGAATTATTAACATATTTTGAACCGTTATAATATACAGAACAGTAGGTACATCATTGCGTATTTTCAATAATATGTAAAGAAAGCTTAAACCCTGTCATTTTATCCCGAAAGATAAAAAACTTTATGGTAGTATTTATTTTTTTTAAAGTTTTTAAAATGCGCGGACAAGCATATTTCTACTTGAAAATTTTTTTTAAATACCTGAGAAAGTTTCATGTCATAGCTACTTACTGTGTATATGTATTTGTTAAACTTGCTTTTGTAACATATGTTCATAACTTCAAACTTTTGCCTTTTGTGCTGAAAGAGCAATGTTTAGCTTTTTACATCAAAAATCTCAAAAACTGGAGCTAATCTAATTTTTCTAATTTCAGATTCTGATTCTGCGGAAAAAATCCTTTAAAAATCAGCATTCGCTTTCCGTGCCGCAAATGTTTTTTTTTTAATTTTGTTAGCCTGCGTAATCTATGTATCTCTTGCGACAAATGATCTGAATAATATCTCGTTGCAATTGAAAACAGAAACGTATATTAATATTCTGGCGTTTACACTTTTGTTTAGTGTTTGGCCGAGTTTCTCCTCCACTTTGTGCGTCTTAATGTTGTGTTACACACACAAAGGAGGGATCCTAATTTTTTTAATGTTTATAAAATGTAAACTTTTTGCGGGGAATGGTTTCCACCTTCAGATGAGTTTTAAAGATTATTGAATGCATTTTGTAATCTTTAAGATACATTTTTTGGTAGTTTTTAGGTCACCAAATACCGAGCCCTTGTAATTACATACATATATGTACTTACATGCACTTGCACATATAGGATAACGATATGCTATTAATATATATATATATATTATATAATGTGATTCATACAATTAAGTGTACAAATATATGTATATGTATGTATGTATGTATCGTATGTAGCTGAAATTCTATCTGTTGCACTGGCTCGCCGATTAACCAACCGGACGGAAGTATTTATGCCCCTACCCCTAAGATAGTTAAATCTCGGGCAATTAGCAATGCTGACAAATGGAAA